CTCGTCCCTGAAAGGAACTCTAAACTATGTTGACATTGCATTGGGTGCATATCCTGTCCGATGTTGGTTGGTTTGTTTGTTGTTTAACGCCGCACTCAGCAATATTCCAGCAATATGACAGCGGTCTGTAAATAATCGAGTCTGGACCAGACAATCCAGTGATTGATATCATAAGCATCGATCCACGCAATTTGGATCGATGACATGCATCAACCGAGTCAGCGAACCTGACCACCCGACCCCGTTAGTCGCCTTTTACGACAAGCATGGGTTGCTGATCCTGTCCGATGGCTCTAGTCCCTGGAGGGAAATCTAAACTATGTTGACATTGCATTTGGTGCATATCCTGTTCGATGGCTCTAGTCCCTGAAGGGAACTCTAAACTATGTTGAAATTGCATTTGGTGCATATCCTGTCCGATGGCTCTAGTCCCTGAAGGGAACTCTAAACTATGTTGACATTGCATTTGGTGCATATCCTGTTCGATGGCTCTAGTCCCTGAAGGGAACTCTAAACTATGTTGACATTGCATTTGGTGCATATCCTGTCCGATGGCTCTATTCCCTGAAGGGAACTCTAAACTATGTTGACATTGCATTTGGTGCATATCCTGTTCGATGGCTCTAGTCCCTGAAGGGAACTCTAAACTATGTTGACATTGCATTTGGTGCATATCCTGTCCGATGGCTCTAGTCCCTGAAGGGAACTCTAAACTATGTTGACATTGCATTTGGTGCATATCCTGTCCGATGGCTCTAGTCCCTGAAGGGAACTCTAAACTATGTTGACATTGCATTTGGTGCATATCCTGTTCGATGGCTCTAGCAGGGTTAGAAACTAAGTTTTTGACCAAAATGGGAATTAAGTTATTGTTATTGTTATTGCTTTGCGCAATAAATCCCCTTGCCATGACATAAAGTCAAGGTCTGCAGCAACCCATGCTTTTCATAAGAGGGAACTGATGAGTACGGGTTATCAGACACACTGCCCTGAATTATGCATCATATCATAAGTCATCGTATCCCAAATGCATAGATCGATGCTCATGATGTCGATCACTGAATTGGCTGGTCCAGACTCGATTATTAACAGACCGCCGTCCAAGAGTACTTAGTTTGAGACCTGTGAAGATCCTGGTAGAGAACAGGTTTTCAGCAATCGATGCTTGCCATAAGAGTTGAGGATGCTTTTTATGAGAGGCGTCCAACTGAATCGGGTGCTTGATGCATGTCATCATATCCCAATTGCGTAGATTGCAGGGTTAGAAACGAACAGTTTTTGCCCACTAGTCCTTATAATGATAACATATAGCAAAACCCTTAAAATGGGCCAATTTCTACTAGTCCTTAGGATACCTTTACTACTGGGCAGTTTGGTAAGGACTATAGGACTGGTGCCAATTTCTAACGCTGCTCTAGTCCCTGAAGGAATCTATGTTGACATTGCATTGGGTGCATGTCCTTTAATTAAAATATCAACTTGAAAACACAAATAAATATGAATAAAAAAGTATAGTCATAAACTAAGTGAGATGTGTTGGATATATACTGATGACAATAAATAAGGCAACAGTAGAAACATTACTGATGAGTGGCGTTCTGAAGCCACAAACAATCACACTGATACAACACTGTATTACATACACTGTTAATGGATTTGGGGGCATGGGTGGCCCAGCCGTCTAAGGCACCAGGATTCGCTGTGCAGAGTTGCATCCCTTGGGCATGCCAGAAACCAATGATTGTGGGTCGAATCCCGGGTTCGCCCAGATTATGTTTCTAGGTTTGTCAGCACCATAGCCTGTCGTGGGTTTCACCGAAGTGGTAAACGTCTGAGACCTGCATCACTTCGGGCTTTCCTCCCACATTAAGCTGACACGCCGCGATATAACTGGAATAGTGTTAAAAGTGGCATAAAACCCATCTGACTCACTCTCTCACTGTTAATGGGTTCAGCCAATCAGAGTCAAATTATAAAATTAACTTGAACTCATTTCTATTTTCCTCACATCTCCATTTCTGACTGATTAGGGTGAGGGAGTTTTACACTTTTAGCAATATTCCAGCAACACCACGGCAGGGGACACCAGATATGGACTGCACACATTGTACCCATGTGGGGAATTGAACCCAGCCTTTGTCTTGACAGGCCAACACATTAACCACTCAGCTACCCTACCACCCTGATTGATTAGGAAAGTAAACAGATTCAACTACACAAATCCAACTGAAGACAACTGTCTCATCAAATAAACATTTATCTCATATATTGTGTGTTCCAGCAAACTGGGGCGGTCAGCTGGCCTTGTTGGTAAAGCATTTACTCCACACAGCAAAGAACCGGGTTCATTTCCCAACATGGTCAAAGCGTTCGCTCGTCACGCCGAAGACTGGGGTTCTTTTCCCTAACATGGGTACAATGTGCGAAGCCCATTTCTGGTGTCCCCTGCTGTGAAATTGCTGGAATATTGCTAAAAGCAGAGTAAAACCATACTCACTCACTCACTCACTCACTCTCTACAAACAACTCATAATGAGATCAATGTAACTTTTGTTTGAAACAGTAAATGCTTGAATACATTATTATTAAAACAAAAATAACTTATTGCACTATAAACAGTTCTTTGTTGCTGATACACTAAAATACAGAACCTTAATCAAAATTAAAAACAAAACCAATTTAATTTAATTTCAATTTCCTCCAAGCTATTTGTTGGCTAAAATATAAAAGGGGGGACAGGTGGCCCACTTGACTAAGGCACCGCATTTCGCTGTGCAGAGTTGCGTCGCTTGGGCACGCTAGAAACCTATGATTGTGGGTTTGAATCCTGATTATGTTTCTAGGTTTGTCAGAACCATGCCTGTGCTCGTGGGTTTCACTAAGTGGTAATGGTCTAAGACCTGCATCACTTCAGGCTTTCCTCCCACATTAAGCTGACACGCCGTGATATAACTGGAATACTGTTAAAAGCAGCATTAGGCACAACTCACTCACTCACACACTAAAATATGAAAAAATATAAACTAAAAAAAGTGTGTTCCAATTATGCTTTGAACAGTATTCCAGTTATATCATGGCATGCAAGTTTCATGTGGCAGGAAAGCCCAAAGTCATACATGTCAGTGAAACCCACGAGCATGACAACAAAAGAAATTTAGGTTCGATCTGGGATTCGAACCCACAATCATAAGCAACAATGACAGCAAGTTTCAGCAGCTTAGACTACTGGGCCACCTGTGCCGTTCATAGCTGGACTGGAAGACCTGAATGTCCACAGAATAAGTCTGGTAATGTGGCATTGTTTTGACGTTTTCTCAAACGTATCACAACATATCCAAATATTGATTAATGAAAATATGATTATCATGTATGTGTATAAATTACCAATGGAGACCTGCAATTAATCAATTTAAATATATATGATGACACCCATTAGAGCTCCAGACAACATTTTGAGCAATTGAGTTTTTACTCTGGGGTATCTATTGTAAATGGTTTATTATATTTTTCATTGGGTAACCAATATTTTTTCACTCATCTATTCATCACTCTATTGTTTTTTTCCCAAAATTAGTGATCAATGTAAGATTTTTAAAAAAATGAAATAATGTTTCAGATGTATACTGAACTGCAAAAGAAACGGTACAATGGATAGATATATGAGAAACCTTATTTGTCCAAACACTATAAGCATACTTTGAGACATATTAAAAAGATAAAACTTGGCAAACCTGATCATCAAGGTTGAAATTAAAGTGTCAAATGTTCTTAAAGTGAAACACAACACTAGTCTCTGAGAAAATGGCATCAAAAGTCAGTATCTCGTGTGTCCGCCATGTGCATTGATGACTGCCGTGCAATGTCGATACATGGAATGGATGAGGTGGTTGATGAAGGCCATAGCACTTGAGCACATACTCTGAGGAACGCCTGACGCAGTTCAGCTGCAGTTGTCGGCCTTGGTCGGACGTCATTCAGACATCATTGAATCTCGTCCCACAGGTGCTCAATGGGATTTAAATCGGGACTGAGGGCAGGCCATTGCATGGTTCTGATGCCATTCTTCTGGAGGAAGTCTCTTGTTGCTCACGCCGTGTGGGCACAGGTGTTATGGTGAAATTTGTGGTTGCGGCGACGTGCCAAATGAGGTATGGCGTGTGGTCTCAAGACTTGATAAATGTACAGAGCTGCTGTGACACCATTGCCTCTCCCTGGACCAATGTTCTGGAAGACCACAGGGCCGACCCTCTGTGCAAGATCAATTCCACCCCACACCATGATGTCTCTCTCAACAACACAAGCATCCGAATAACGTTCCCCATGATGCCGCCAGACTCTCTCTCTGCCATCTGCTGTTGAGATACAGTAACGGCTCTCGTCTGAGGAGAGGAGTCTTCACCACTACTGGTGGCGACAATGCTGGTGCTGTGTTGCCCACTGAAGACGGTCCCGGCGATGACGTGGTGTCTGAATGGATCCACAGTGTCTGCTCATCAATCATCGATGCACGGTGTCCACATTAATGTGTCGCTGGTGTGTCCCCATGTCCTCAGCAGTAACAAAGCAATCTTGAAGATGCTGTCGCACAGCCTGATGATCCTGACGTCGGGTGGTGACCCTTTGTCTTCCACTACGTGGTCAGTCATCTGTAGTGTTGGTGGTCTCGTACCGTTGCTTGAGCCTGTATGTGGTCCTTACTTGGACATGAAATGCACTGGCTACTTGCCGGGCGGCTTGTCCAGCTTGCAATCGTCCAAGGGCTTCGTGTCGCTGATTTCTTGTCAATCTTGGCATGTGGGAGCAATTCAATAACGAATGAATGTTATCCAAATCAAATTTCATTTTTCCAGACAAGGTAATGTTAAATTTTAGAAACTTAGACAAAAATTACCCAGATATTTAAATGACAACTTTTCATGCAATGTTTCTTGGGGTGATGTTTCTTTTGCGGTTCAGTATATATAACTGTCCTAAATATATATAGGCTTGACTCAGAAAGTAAATTAGCTCGTAATTGTGTTTCGGAAATTAGCTCCTTTATAGGCATGCTGAAAAAGCTTCATTGAGTATTTACGCGTTCTGTTTTTATACATTTGTGTTTTTCATTTAATGCATGCTTTTTTTTTATGCAAGTTAACTGAAAGTATTTGGGGTTTGGATATTTTGGGGGGTATATGCAGCTGATCTGTAGCTCTAGATCTGACCCATAGTAATGTCCTTGCTTGGATTAACAGATAATAGATAATAGATAAAAGATGAGACAAGGTTCACTTTGTCATTGTATATAAGATTCATCACATAATTGCTTGATCTATGTAAATCAGCTGTTTGTCGTTTGTATTGGTGACTTGACCTTTCTCCAAGACATGTCATTAAGGCAGTGAGTTCAAGGGACAATTTGGGGTGTCGGCCGGTACCTTTCAAACTCTCATCATACCATTCCCTATCTTAATCCTCCAGAAATGAGATTCTGCGTCGTTTGTATTGGTGACTTGACCTTTCTCCAAGACATGTCATTTAGGCAGTGAGTTCAAGGGACAATTTGGGGTGTCGGCCGGTACCTTTCAAACTCTCATCATACCATTCCCTATCTTAATCCTCGAGAAATGAGATCCTGCGCCTCAGCCAGCACACCTCATCTTGTGCGCTGCAGCTGGTCCAGAAGTCCAACATCTTCTCGTACCGTTGAGACATGGCAAAGTCACATGAGTAGTGGAGTTTTCTCAGACACACTGGGCACAGGAACACTGGGAGCGAGTCCAACTCCTGCAGGTGGTTAGCTCCGTTCATCAGGCACTTGAAGTGGACACAGTGAGACAGGCCAAACATGTGACCCATTTCATGACACAGGGTCTTGCAGGCTCGGACCAGCAGCATGCTGTCACTGTTGGGAAGAAACAGCAGGAGTGAGTGAGAGAGTGAGTGAGAATAAGTGAGGAGGTTGAGTGAGTGGTTGTGTTTGTGAGCGAGTGACTGAATGAGTGGGTGGTTAGGTGGATGTGAGTGAGTGTGAGAGTGAGTGGTTGTGTTTGTGAGTGAGTGAGTGAGTGAGTGAATAAGTGAGGAGGTTGAGTGAGTGAGTGAGTGAATAAGTGAGGAGGTTGAGTGAGTGGTTGTGTTTGAGTGAGTGACTAAGTGAGTGGTCGGGTGGCTAGTTAGGTGGATGTGAGTGGAGTGAGAGTGAGTGGTTGTGTTTGTGAGTGAGTGAGTGAATAAGTGAGGAGGTTGAGTGAGTGAGTGAGTGAGTGAATAAGTGAGGAGGTTGAGTGAGTGGTTGTGTTTGAGTGAGTCACTAAGTGAGTGGGTGAGTGGTTAGGTGGATGTGAGTGAGTGAGTGGTTGTGTTTGTGAGTGGTTTGGTGAGTGAGTGAGTGAGTGGTTGTTTGTAAGCGAGTGACTGAGTGAGTGGGTGGTTAGGTGGATGTGAGTGAGTGTGAGAGTGAGTGGTTGTGTTTATGAGTGAGTGAGTGAGTGAGTGAATAAGTGAGGAGGTTGAGTGAGTGAGTGAGTGAATAAGTGAGGAGGTTGAGTGAGTGGTTGTGTTTGAGTGAGTGACTAAGTGAGTTGTTGGGTGGTTAGGTGGATGTGAGTGAGTGAGTGAGTGGTTGTGTTTGTGAGTGAGTGAATAAGTGAGGAGGTTGAGTGAGTGGTTGTGTTTGTGAGTGAGTGAGTATGGTTTTACGCCGATTTTAGCAATATTCCAGCAATATCACGGCGGGGGACACCAGAAATGGGCTTCACACATTGTACCCATGTCGGGAATCGAACCCGGGTCTTCGGCATGACGAGCGAACGCTTTAACCACTAGGCTACCCGACCGCCCCGGTTGTGTTTGTGAGCGAGTGACTGAGTGAGTGGGTGGTTAGGTGGATGTGAGTAAGTGAGAGAGTGTGTGGTTGTGTTTGTGAGTGAGTGAGTGAGTGAATAAGTGAGGAGGTTGAGTGAGTGAGTGAGTGAATAAGTGAGGAGGTTGAGTGAGTGGTTGTGTTTGAGTGAGTGACTAAGTGAGTGGGTGGGTGGGTGGGTGGTTAGGTGAATGTGAGTGAGTGAGTGAGTGAGTGGTTGTGTTTGTGAGTGAGTGAGTTGTTCGGTGACTGAGTGAGTGAGTGAGTGGTTTGGTGACTGAGTGAGTGAGTGGTTCAGTGAGTGAGCATTAAGGGGCTAAAACAAGGACTTGTGAATGAGGTGAAATCAAGTGTTATGTTCACTGCATTTTTTTACCGGTATAGTTAGGCTTGGACCAGTACTTCAGGTGACTGCCAGTCCCTGTGGACCGGCAAATAAAGTACCTTATAAAATCTTTGTTACTAAACAAAACAAAACATTGGCAATTTTCATATAAGTATATTTTTTAAAGAAGTCAGCTTGTCTGTTACCATTAGGATTTCCCTTGTTGAATTTTAGTGCAAGGTCACAACTTTTTGCTGTGCTTCAATGTTAAAAAGAAATTTGTAGCGATTTCGTCTCGAAATATTAAAATGAGTGAGTGAGTGAGTTCGGTTTTACGCCGCTTTTAGCAATATCCCAGCAATATCACAGCAGGGGACACCAGAAATGGGCTTCACACATTGTACCCATGTCGGGATTCGAACCGGGGTCTTCGGCGTGATGTGCGAACGCTTTAACCACTAGGCTACCCGACCGCCCCTTATTAAAATGAAAGAGAAAATTGTGACTGAACTTTGTGTAAATGACATGTAGATCACATGTGCATTGAATATGATGTTGAAAGAATTATGACCAGGTAAGTTTCATAAGTTTCATTCAGACTTACAAAAATTAGTGGGGACTGGTAATTTGCCAGTCCAACAGGACTGGCAGTTTCAAAAACCTACAGGAACACTATACTTCATTTCAACAAACAAGTAAATGGTACAGAGAAAATGTGAGGGAAATGTTGGGGACTTTTCCGTTAGTTTGCAATCTAAAACAAATATGGGGGGCACGGGTGACCCAGTCCTCTAAGGGGCCGCGATGTGCTGTGCAGAGTTGCATCTCTTGAGCACGCAAGAAACCTATGATTGTGGGTTCGAATCCAGGTTCGCCCCGATTATGTTTCTAGGTTTGTCAGCACCATACCCGTGCTCGTGGGTTTCACCGAAGTGGTGAACGTCTGAGACCTGCATCACTTCGGGCTTTCCTCCCACATTAAGCTGACACGCCGTGATATAACTGGAATACTGTTAAAAGCGGCGTTAAAACCCAACTCACTCACTCACTCACTAAAGCCAATATGACAACAGAAACAGAGACGTATTCATGGTTTATCTTACCCTCTGTTGTCAAACACGCTAGTTTTCTGCATCCCAAAGTTGTCAAGGTAACGCGCCAGGGAGTGCACACCGCATCGCGCAGCGCAGCTGGCTACGCCGAACACAAAGTTCCAGTCTTCCTCGGGGTAGAGGTCACACAGAGTGATCCCGGCCACACAGAAAGCATCTTTCCTAACCAGTTTCACCAGTCTACTCAACACAACCAATGCATCTACCTGCAAGGTCCTGGAATAAGCGTTCACCCGTTCAGGAACGTCCCCCTTCAGCGAAATTGGAGTGAGGACCTCCACATCCATTCCAAAGAATATGTTGGTGTATGACTGTACAGCTGTGAGTATGCCTGGGGGCACCTGCTCTTCATCAATGCTGAAAGGCTGGATGTAGATTCGATGTCTCACACAGTCTGGGGTGTAATGGGTGGACGCGAGAAAGTCATAAAATGTCTGCTCTGATTCTTTGTGGTAGCTCAACCAATCAGAAGAGCTGGGCTGGTTCATTGCTTGAAATGACTTGACATCTGAAGGGAAAAGCTATATTTATCTGATAGCTTTAAAAAATATGCACAAAAAAATAATTTTTATTCCAAAGGCCTTTAATAAAATAATTTTCAGGTTTCAACCTGCCTTCCTCACTCTTCACCTGACTCACATCATTATATTTATATTTTTTATATAACTCGTATACAGTCAAGTCCTGTTAATCCGACATCGATGGTTGCATATGATTATATCGGATTAAAGAGCATGTCGGAGAAACTAAATTTAGTAGTATCAAATTTCGTGATCGAAAATCGGACAACTACACGATAGATAAGTTTCAAACACTATTCGGATATATGGTGTCGGATAAAGCCGATTGTCGGATTAACGAGTGTCGGATAAACGAGACTTGACTGTATGTGTTCCTTCTTATAAAAAAAACTACCAGTAATCTAAACCTAAAAGTAATTTCATGAAAGATAATTTCAAATGCTTTTGGGGCTATTTCTGGTGTCCCCCGCCGTGATATTGCTAGAATATTGCTAAAAGTGGTGTTAAACCATACTCACTCACTCACTCACTCACAAGAAGGAATTATAAGGGTTAAAATTCTAAGTTACTACCAGAATCGTAACGATATAGTCATAAAGTATTGTATCCCGATACGAGGCCAACATGAAATTACAATCTCTGTATCGCGATAAATACAATAAATTACATATTAGTCTAAAAACACGAATAATAACAGATTTCAAAGGCGAAACAAAACTGTTAAAAAAACAGCTGATGCAGGTTGTCTAGTATTTCCCAGTTGTCTATAAATAGCATAATATTCACAGCGCCCTCTAGTCGATACTTTTCTGCCCTACAATATCCCATTTTTGATCTCTGAAATTCAAAAACAAATTATTCAGGGTTGTTATTCAACTGTGAAAAGAAAGGATATCAACTTATGAAATAATTTATTTTTTTTTTTTTTTTTTTAAAAACAAACAAACTTATGAAATAAAACCTCTGTATCGGGATACAAATGGCATCACACCCATAGTATCGGGATACTGCCGTATCGTGGCCCCACCATATCATTTCAGCTCTAGTTACTACCTGGTATGAAGAACTTCAATAGGCTCTGTGTGTTCTGTGAACGCAGAACATAATGCTCTTCATATTTCAACTCGTAGCTTCCAAACCGTCCTCGTTTTGTTCCATCGTCCATCTGAATGGAAAATATAAACAAGGAGGTGAAAACAGCATATTTTTTCATTTTAAGAGGTTATCAGGGATATTAAACATGTTTCCTGTCTAAGGATAGGTAAAAATTATTCCACTTGGACACAAACTTGATTAAAATTGGAATGAAAAGTGCAGCCTGTTTAATACCAACAATGAAACAAAAAAGGGGTCCATAACAAAATCCTGTCTACATTTAGTTTTCAAAAAGGGGGGGGGGGAGGTTATAAGAGGCGACTAACAAGACAGGGTGGTCAGGCTCACTGACTTGGTTGATGCATGTCATCGTATCCCAATTGAGTGGATCGATGCCCATGATCTCAATCACTGGATTGTCTGGTCCTGACTCGAATATTTAAAGACCGCCATCATATAGCTGAAATATTGCTGAGTGCGGCGTTAAAAAACAAACAAACAAACAAACATTTATATTCTAGACCCAAACCACACAAAATACAGTAGGTAAGGATGCATCTTTTTAATTTTTTTATAAATGTTTTTTCATATGCCTGATTTATTCACTCAGTTCAGTCATATTTTTCTAGTTGATCAGACAGCATCCTGTTTATGAAGTACTACCCAAAAAGATGTACATATGATTTATCTGACATTTTAGTTGAAATGAAATACATTCTATGTTCGGACTTAAACAAAAAAAACCTAAGGCATTAATCCCATAGCTGACAAGTGTAACTTTACTCTCAGGGTACCCGGTGCAGGTCTCAAGAGTTGGGTACAAGATGTCCGATTGGGAACTGTTTAACCGGAGACCTGCCAAAAAGTATTTAGATGCATGCATCCTACTGTATGGAAGCCTTGAAGGGCCATTTGTTTTTTTTGTTTTTTATTGAAATTTGAAGATACTAAGTTGAAATTTGAAGATACTAAGTTGAAATTTCAAGTTATTATCTTGAAATTTCAAGTAAGCATCTTGAATTTCAAATTAGCATCTTGAAATTTCAACTTGGCATTTTTAAATTTCAAGAAGAAAACAAATGGCCCTTAAAGGCTTCCGTACTACTCAGTACCCGCCCGACAGTTTGTACTAATAATCAACTGTATTATAGTTGTTAATTACCGTATTCGCCATAATAAGCACTCTCAAAATTAGAAATAGGGGGCTCTTATTAGAATATAATTTTAGTGAAATACAACAGTGTTGAAAGATCGTAAATTTCGTGGTTTCGTGACAGCCTGAAATGTTTATATATGACAGATATATTTTCCCAAGAATTTAATTTCCCATGATTAAGGATGCATATAACACATGTATTATACGAGAATAAATAAGTCTTGTGCACATTAATCAATTGGAAGGGGTGCTAATTGGGATTGTTCACTAGCCAATATATTAGCAAATATCGCCGTGGTCGTGACTAGCCAATATATATGCAAATATCGCCGTGGTCGCGACTAGCCAATATATTAGCAAATATCGCCCTGGTCGCGACTAGCCAATATATTAGCAAATATCGCCGTGGGGGCTTATTACGTTGAATACTGTATGTGTTGGTACAATGGTTAACTTATACCAGTGTTCGAAATACCTGCCTGCCCGACCGTCCGAGACTCGGGCTGCTGATTTCAACTCGGGCTGCCAGATTTTCAAATCCCCCTGCCCGACGGTCGGGTGAAATTTCATATGTAAAAATATTCTAAATATTTCCCGATGATAAGCATTATTTACATGATGTATTCTAGGATATTAAATACAAATCTGACCTAAAAAGTGTTTGCTATTTCTTTTCTTGCATTACTTCATGTACAATGAATTCGATTTAAAGTTTTAAATAAATTATCCTGAGAAACATATGATTATAGTGGGCAGGCAGGTTTTGGTCAGGGCTGGCAAGTATTTCAGCTAGCCAGTCCTGTGGTCTGGCTAAAAAGATTTGGAGTTTCATACCCTGCCTATAGTTCCCGTAGACTAACATTTAGTCTCTGAATTGAACATATCGTACATAAAAAAACAGTTGATCAGTTATCTTAATAAAAATATAATAAAAAGGAGCCCAGTGACTCTCTTCATTTTCAGATACTGCAGTGATCTAGACTTGCCAAACATTATAGACTTGCATGGGCTGTTTTTGATATATATTTGTATCAGGGTCTGTAAGACAGACTAATAGTTCCCGTTGTAACAACTGTGTTCCCAGATATATCACCCATGAGTACCCAGAGCCAAGGTAAATTACTGATTTCAAGACTGTTGGGTTTTTCCCAGACCAGATCACATGAATATGTCGAGTCGCGAGTCCCGTGATAAGGTGCTGATACAAGTGTGACGAAGAAAAATGAGAACGAAATCACAGACGACCAACCTTCACCACGAGTCCTATGGCGTCTATCAACATGTCATCAGACATGCGAGTAAAATTCGCCATGTCTACGTGACGTATTTCACTGCTGCATACGTTGCATCTGTCAATATCGTTTACTTATTCCTCAAAACACACATAACTTCACTTGTTGACAGGCTGACATAACCAGCTTCCGCATTAACTTCCAAGCTCCTCACAGCGATCGCCCAGTCGCGGAGCTCTGTGCTCCCGTCAAAGCTCCCCACTGTGACAAGTGGCTACAACCATGCTTGGAGTTTAACTCGAAACCGGCTGACCTTCATGTTCATAATTGCTGGAATATTGCTAAAAGCGGCATAAAACCATACTCACTCACTCACTCAAGTTCATAAAAAAGTGATGATCTGTCCTGACGTCGAAAACCCCAACTAAATTATTTTCTTTGTTTGACAATTTTAATTTCTATTTTATCTCAACAGTAGGAATATAAGGGGAAGTTCGGTGATTTTCCGCTCGTCTACAATGTCTTCAATTTAAACTGATAAAACAAAAAACAAACGTAAATTCATCTGGGAAACCTGGTCAGACGTAAACCTTTTATGTAACAAAGAAACGTGACTACATTAAGGCATCGCTGTACAGAGTTGCGTCCCTTGGGCAAGCCAGGAACCTAGCTATGATTGTGGGTTCGAATCCCGGTTCGCCCCGATTATGTTTCAAGGTTTGTCAGCACCATACCCATGCTCGTGGGTTTCACCGAAGTGGTAAAAGTCTCAGACCTGCATCATTTCGGGATTTCCTCCCACATTAAGCTGACACGCCATGATATTACTGGAATAGTGCTAAAAGCGGCGTTAAACCCAACTCACTCACTCACTCCACACTCTGGTGCAATGGGGATTTACCACCACACCACAATCTAAAATTCGGCTATTTCCGTCAATCCTAAAATAAAGACTGCCACAGGCAATTTGCATATCACGTGACAGGACTTTTATCTTGTTTGTAAACAAAAGCGGTTATTCTGAAACCAGAACCGACTGGCCTGATGCAAACCTTTCGGTGAGCATTACATATTACATATTGTTTTGCATAATTATATAGATATGCTGTTACAACTGCGACAGAGAGATGCATGCCGATACCTTTATACATTTAAGTGGCCGTATCGCTAGCTCTCTGTAGGGCTTATCGGTGAAACTTAACCATTCTAATGATTCCATGATATATATCCACCTTTGAAGTGTATTTGGTTGTTCAAGGGGATATTACTTCAATTGACAACTCAAGTCTGCGGATCCACAATTATAAAGCAATAAAACGTTATATTGACAGAGCTTCACTGGGAGTTTAGTGTTCAACGCCCAGATTTCAACTGCCCAGATCGCTCTGGTCTACATCCATTTACCTAGCCGTCTATATAACCTTTGGAACATCGCATTCTATGAGACGTTTGCCTGAGGTGTTTGCCTTGTGGACAGGGACCCGTGAAGATCCGGGGTAGAATAGGTCTTCAGCAACCCATGCTTGCCGTAAAAGGTGACTATGCTTGTCGTAAAAGGCGACAATGCTTGTCGTAAAAGGCGACTAACGGGATCGGGTGGTCGGGCTCGCTGACTTGGTTAATGCATGTCATCAATCCCAATTGCGTTGGTAGATGCTCATTTTGTCAATCACTGGGTTGCCTGGTCAAGACTCGATTACTTAAAGACCGCCGTCATATAGCTGGAATATTGCTGAGTGCGGCATAAAACAAACCAACCAACCTGATGGAGAGGGGCAGGAAATATGTGCATCTGCGCCGCATTCGGCAAGCGCGCATTGCCCGCGGCACGCTGTATGCTGCATGTGGTATACTGCATATTGCACTTGATATACTACATGTATACTGCATGTGATACTTATGGTTATCTATAGATCCCGACTCGTCAAAAATAAAACAGATGAAAAATATATGCAATATTTTGAATGGACCAAAGACGTGTATATAGATATATCTATACACGTCTTTATTGAATGGACCGTGTAAGGTGTGTCGAATCGTCACATGGCGCTTGGCCTGTGGCAGAGGTAAGTTAAATGCTGACCGCAGGGAGCTCTGGGTAGGAGAGTAGAGAGTGTGGCGAAGGTGTCACGCACTGGGATCATTAGATCACTTTTCGGTGAGCAATAGGTGAGGTGAGGTGAGGTGAAATGGGGTTTAACGTCGCGTCCAAGATTATTGCACTTATATAGCGACGTGCATGCACGTGTATGTGTGTGTGTGTGGCTGCTTGTACTAGTCCGGACTGATGCCGATTTATACTGCTAGCTCACTGAGATACCACAAAAGACAGCTTCACTTCAGAACTTAATAAATACCCGTTTGCACGCTTTAAAATCAGCTTTCGACTTACATACTTAAATTCTGCCTTGATTATTTCTTTGGCAGATAAATACAAAATTATTCACGAGTTCTGTACAAAATGGTATTTTCTGCAAGACAGATACATTTCTGCATCGAGTGGGCATTTCTGCAAAGTATTCCGCGACTGCGAAATCGCAGAAAACAGCGAGGACTGATGCTAATCCATAGCATCGGAATAATTATTAACAACATTTCTGTCTAAACAATACGGGTGAGGTGAGGTGAAATTTGATTTAACGTCGCGTCCAAGATTATTGCACTTATATAGCGACGTGCATGCACGTGTATGTGTGTGTGTGGCTGCTTGTACTAGTCCGGACTGATGCCGATTTATAGTGCTAGCTCACTGAGATACCATGCCGCAGTTTAACATGAATACCCCACTCAGACACAGTATACTGACTCCGAGCCGACCAGTCCTTGTTTTAGCCCCTTAATGCCGAGCGCCAGACAGGGTAACAACAAGTACAATCTTTTAACGTCTTTTTGTATGACGCGGCCCGGGATCGAACCCTGGACCTTCCGCTCTCCGGGCGGACGCTCTACCACAAGACCACGGAGGCGGTCCTAAACAATACGGGACGGTCGGGTAGCCTGGGGGTTAAAGAGTTCGCCGGTCACGCCGAAGACCCGGGTTCGATTCCCGACATTGGTACAATGTGTGAAGCCCATTTCTGGTGTCCCCTGTCGTGATATTGCGGGAATATTGCTAAAAGGGGCGTAAAACCATACTCACTCACTATAAACAATACAAGATAAAATCTTGTAAGAACATGACCGTTTCGGCAAACATTCACAAGGATTTTCACGCTGTTGTTCATGTACTTCCTCGAACTCACAAGAGTAATGAAAAAAGACTTCACCTATATATGAATAGTCCTGCACCATGACCGTGGAATATATCTATTTTATGAAAAAAAATAAAACTAGAAACGCATACAAAAGCAAGTCTAGCCAGCTCAAGCTAGCTCTATTCCACAGCATAGGGATTTTGTTTTGTTTTTAGAGTCAAGAAGGATATTGTGTAACATAAGATTTCAGAGACTAAATGTTAATCTATGAAGGATTCCTTATGTTTTGAAATGCATTTTGATAGTTCTGATGTGATCTACCGAGTAGCTCCAACACGCTAGAACAGCGTTTATTCATTTTTTTAAACTGATATAGAGGATGAATATAATGTCGCAGAAATGTCATTTTTCGATTGGTAAAGTGTGTGTACCACATTACGAATGGAAGAAAGACTGCATTAAGATCGAGATATGAAAATATGTGTAATTATGTATACACAACGTTGTCACAACCTAGAGCGCATGTTTATTAATTGCTTCGACCTAAAAAACAGATAAAAAGAACGGCGGAAGCTCATACCCCCGATGGTTATATTTTAATCTTTTTTTAAAGTATTCGCGCAGTGAAAGTATTTTCGGATTTCGGATTGCGTGGATAAAACGATTACTTCTCTCTTGTTTATATATAGTTATAACGTTACAGCTTCATGTCCGTTATTCAGTTTATAGGTTTTTCAGCACCATACCCGTGCTCGTGGGTTTCACCGAAGTGGTAAACGTCTGAGACCTGCATCACTTCGGGCTTTCCTCCCACATTAAGCTGACACGCTGTGATATAACTGGAATACTGTTAAAAGCGGTGTTAAACCCAACTCACTCACTCACTCACTCACTCACTTACTCACTTATGTGGATATTGACGGATACAATCCTCAAACACAGTAATTGCCTGATATTATTCATAAAACTTTGGTCGGTTGTATTTACGATATTTGCTTTTTGTTTTCATTCATTTTCCGTAGCATGGAACAGAATCATTCTTTTTCCTTTACGTTTTCGTTTGGGACTTCTCCAATGAGAGACAGAAAATACTTAGATTTTTTCCACAAGCCTTGTTGTAGAATGGTAAAATGGGTAAAATGTCATTCACTTAGGCAAGCAGACAATTTATAAAATGTCTAAATACAAATTTACAAATCGACTGTTCATTTATTTAACAGACTGACTAAATACGAATTATTAAAAAGTTCAGAATGGTTTTACAACGTCATAATGAACTTGGATTAGAAGCCCAAAATCCATTCATTGACTATCGTTTTCAATCACTGGGTGGTGAAATTAAATATAAAAAATTCGTATTAAAATAAATGGACAGATTTTTCAGTCAATTTGTAAACTAGTTGAAATATTTAGGCGTTTTATAACTTGCTTATGTTGTCATTTTACAAACTTGCTGTAACATATACAAGAGATATGATAAGTAATGCTCAGGCGAAATCACGCGAAAACGAAAATCGCAGAATACCAAGTAAGTGACGTATCAAAACCTCGTCACCATTACCGATGCGACCCAAAAGGATGCCTACATTTCTTCATTAATTCCAAGACAAAATGGATAAAGGGAGACAATCCATGTATGCCTATTTAACAGAATGATGTACCCACGTTATATTTTACGAATGCTTCCCTAAGTATTGGCCCGTATCAATTAAATTAAGTCATAAATTTTATGAATATATGGACAATGAACTTGCAATGCACTTATAATAGACCAAATATTTTCAAAGTATGCGCAGAAATATCAAATACCGGACCAAAACAATTACTTGAGTTGTTTGACTAAAGTACAGAAGTTGGGGGGCGGTCGGGTAGCGTAGTGGTTAAAGCGTTCGCTCGTCACGCCGAAGACCCGGATTCGATTCCCGACATGGGTACAATGTGTGAAGCCCATTTCTGGTGTCCCCCGCCTCGAATTGCTGGAATATTGCTAAAAGTGGCGTAAAACCATACTCACTCACTCA